CCGCGCGGGGATGTTGTAGGTGGCTGCTCAGCCCGGGGTAACAAGCAAGTCCTGGCCGCTCCCACGCTGTTGGCAGGGACAGGGGCTCCCGCGGGCTACATCCGGTCCGTTGAGCGTCTGCTCTCCATTTAGGGATCAGCTTCACAAATATACGTGCAATGTGCCCTTGTTTCTCTAACCGTGCTCGGAAATCCCATGCCGTGGTAAATGCGCTTTCTCATCCTGCCAGTCACGCTGCCCCAAACCAGTTCCTTCAGAACAAGGTGGATAGACGCCCTGTAAGGGACAGTTGTGCACATTTGCTCCTGTACACTTGTCAATTTAGTGTTACGACCTGGAGCAGCAGTACTGATATCCTGTAAGATAAATTTTATCTAATGTGAAAGAGTCATTGCTGACTTTAAAATACTTGCTAAAATAAAGGTCTCTCTTCATATGTTTTTCAACCTAAACCAAGTTTATGAAAATCTTTGAACTTTAAGTAATGACTTTCCTGTTAGAAATTTAACCAATCGTTTCTAACGGTTTAAAATGGCCTTTATTTTTAATAGTACAATTATCCTTTTGAAGATGATTTACTTGTCTCTATGGAGTCATTGACTTATGATACACCCGATGGTAAGTATTCCATAAAATATCAATGTTTTCCTTTTTTATACTTATTAACAGTGTACATATTTACATAAATAGGACTGGATGATTTCTGGGCAAAAAGATTTCATCCTATATCCCTGATCCTACAAAAGGTTCAGTTTTTCTGCTGTAGTTTACTCATCAGAGTAGTCCCATCAAAGCCATATGTAAATTTCAATGTGTGTTCGCTGCCTCTGGGTGAAGGTTAAAAGCAAGCAACAATTTTAGTCATTATTTAGACAAAAAAAGTTATTAGGACTCAAGATAACAATAGTTAATACTATAGTGAGTTGTACAGAACAAATATTAAGATGGAAGGAGAGTTTAAAGGAAAGAAACTAAGTGAGTAAAAAGAATGAAGATGAGACCCAATAGCTGTTACATGAAACTTCAAAACATTTACAAGATCTGTCTGATGAGTTTACATTAACAAAACTTTTCCTTCACTGTGACAGCACATGGTTAATTTCAGTTACTGCACTGAGATTGGGGGAAGTCCTGTTTTTCTAGCATCTCATAAAAGCTTTCATCTGTTAGAAGGGTGACATGAATATGCATCTAACCTGAAAAGCTGAGATCTCTAAAATATCATATGTTCTACAATTTAATAGGTATTCTTGCCTAGCGGTTTGAACATGTTATTTGCAGCAAAGAACTGCTCTGTTACAGTTATCACCTGTCAAATGAGAATTGATACCCCTGTGCCTTATCGGGTTAATTTAACTATTGTGTGCATTAGGGATGTTAGATATTAGTAACTGAATAGTTGAGAAACCACATGAATTCTTATCGGTTACTCAACTATTTTATAGTCCACAGGGATGGGGCTAGCATGCAATCCAGCCCCACTGTTGGGGTGCCCCCTCTCACCCTGCACTGCTGCCTCTGTATCAGAGGCAGCAGCACAGGGTACCAGGCGGTAGGTGGTCTGCGAGGGGATCCAGTTTAAAAAACAGATCCCTGTTCAGATCAGCTGCCTGTTATCCCACACTGCTGCCTCTGATACAGTGGCAACAGCGTGAAGTGGCAACAGCCCCATCTGCGGGAATTCCGTGCTCCCTGCGGACAGAGGCTGCTGGGGGGAGGAGGAGGCTTCTTTGGAGCAGCAGCCCCTATCCGAGCTCCCCATGGGCTGGGGCTTTGGGACAGCCTCTACCGCCCCCTCCCCACTTCGCTCTGCTGCTTCTTGGTACAGAGGAGCAGTGGCGTAGTAGGCTTATCAATTAATCGGTAGTCTACTACTCATTTACATCTCTAGTGGCAAATGTAAAATGCTGCAAAAATATCAATCATATATATAGTAGCCCCAACGTCTGGGGGGCGGTCTTGCCTCCTGCCGTGGCGCTCAGCTGAGTTCTGCGCCGGGCCGCTGCAGGGGAGCAAGTGGCGCAAGCGGCCGTTTAGGCACCACGCTCCCCGTGCTGCATGAGGAGCGTGGAGCCCAAACAGCCGCTTGCGCTGCTTGCTCCCACACGGGGAGTGCGGAGTCCAAACAGCAGTTTGGGCTCCGCGGCCCCCCGAATGAGAGGCAGGAGGGGGAGGAGAAGAGAAAGGGAGAGTGAGAGGCAGGAGGGGGAGAAGAGAAACAGAGACGGAGGGGGAGGAGCTGAGAGAGAGGGGGGAGGCAGGAGGATGAGAAGGGAGGAGAAAGAGACGGACAGATGGACATGGAGGAGAGTCCTGAAAAATCCCGTTGTATGATGGATTATTGGTTAGTTCTTAAATAGTTCTGATATAACATTTAAATTGTTTGTTTGTAAAGGCTTTTATAATCTTAATATATATATTTTCAGGAGTCTAGGATTACAGTTGGGATTTTTTGTGTGTTTACACTTTTGCCACAATGGATGTGTGAATTTGCAATGGCTGGTAATGTGTCTGGTTTTTGTAACTTCTATTCACAACTTATACCTGGTTAATTGCATGGCGACCCCCTTCTGACCACAAAAATTACTACACAGCGCCATGAGGGAGACTGAAACTTGAACCCTGGCTGGAGTCGAGGGGGGCCAGCAAAGCCTAAGGGTGTCATCCCCAGGCAGGGGGCCTATAACCTCACCCCGTGGCCCTGGGCTAAAGTCTCCGGTTTCAGTCTCAGGTCCCAGCAAGTGTAACTCAGACCTAGCAACCTCATTGAAATGGGTCACTTTATGTTTTGTATAAGAACTGCAGCATTATATGAAACTCTAAACCTGCAATGACAAGTGTGAGTTGCTGTACTTGCCACATGAATTTCATGCATTTTATGAGACTACTCTTATCAAGTTAGCTGCTGGCTTAGGTCTTTGTTGTATCAGGGCTATAACAAACAATGGAGCTGAGTTACGTCGTGAAAGAAACTAACTTTGAATCTACTGACTTCATTATTGTTTAATACAGTTCTATGTTTAAGACAAAACTGAATAATTTTCATATAAATTGCTGGCCAACACACAGCATTGTGTTTGGTATTGATAGTATTTTGTCACTACTTAACATGATCCCTACAGAGAGGGTTACTCAGTGTAAACTGATATTGTAATGCATACAACTTGTCTGTAGTAATTTCTGTTCTCTTATATGTAGGACCACGATTATGGGGTGAAGTGTCAGAAAAAAGCCTTAAAAAATGGAAGAAAAATTTATATAAGGTATTTAATAATTTGCTTGCTTCATATGTTTTCCTTCTTCTTTAGAAGAGGAATTTGAAATAATTTGTATGATACAATCAAAGAGAAATAGTTCTCCATTTCTCAGTGATTAATAAGCCCACAACACAAACAGTATTGCTAAGAAAATACCGTTTGAATACACTTGTAATTTGTACCTCTTCAGCCTATCACTGTTGACTTTAAAAAGTATACTTGAGATAAAATGATCGCAGTTGGCCATAGGGACATGAACGGGTGATGCTTATGATAACCAGTTAACTGGTGCCCAGAAGCAGCCTCCCATGGGCGAAGGGCTGCTCCAGACCTGGTTCAGCTGGGCTGGAGCGGACCCCAGCTAAGGATGTTAAATTTTTATTTATTGACTAGGGCTGTTGCTACACTTCAAAAGCGAAGTGCTGCGGGGAGCACTAGGCCAGTGGCGTAGCCCGTGCTGGCCCTGTGCTCCTGCAGTGTTTCAAAGCAGCAGTGCCACATGAAGCCCAGGGTCAGCTGGGGACTCCCTCAGTGATCCCAGGTCCTTGTGGCGCTGCTGCTTTGAAACACTGCGGGGGAAACTCAGCCTCAGGCTGCATGTGGTGTTTCAAAGTAGCAGCGCCTCACAGAGCCCTGGGTCCTTGTGGCAATACCGTTTTGAAACGCGACAGGGAGCCCACTGTTAGGCTGCACACAGTGTTTCAAAGCAGCAGTGAAACCTGGAGCAGGAACCTCCCCCTCTGGCCCCGGGCTCCATGAAGTAATGCTGCTTTGAAACGCTCTGGGGAGCCCAGCATTAGGCTCCACATGGTGTTTCAAAGCAACAGTGCTGGGTGAAGCCTTGGGTCTGGCTCCAGGTTCCACGCGGCACTGCCGCTTTGAAGCACCCCCTCTCTCACCCCTCCTTTGCTGCCTCTTGCTGATAGAGGCAGCAAGGGTGGGTGAAATGACTAGTCATTCAATCCCTACCCCCTCCGCCCCCCACCTCCAGGATCCCGCTTAATCGGTTAACTGATTACACTTAACATTTAACCAGTTAACTGATTAATCAGGATTTTACATCCCTAATTGGCGAAGTTCTGCCCTGGGACCCCCATTGGTCTCACCTCAAGCTTTATTTATATACATTCTCTTGTACAGATTGTCTTTGCCATGTGATTTGTGTCTACTCTATTACTTATGTCGCTGATGGGTGTAAATAAAATATCTCCCTGAGAAAGACAAAGTTGAACCAATATAAGTGGCACAGTACTGCCTTGGTGGGAGAGCTTCTCCTGCTGACATAGCTACCCCCACTTTTTGGAGGTGGCTTAATTATGTTGATGGGAGAGCTCTCTCCCACCAGCATAGAACAGCACAGCTGCTTTGACACAGATGTCGGGTCTCTTGTGTAGTGTGCACGTGCCAGGCTTAATTTTCTTCCTTATTGTTGTGGGAGTTATACTATGCCTGTTTCCTTTTTTTCCCCCTCTCCCTGCTCCACTCCAAAAAACCAAATATTGGTGCCTTGCAGCAAATGTGTGTATATATATTACAAACCTTCATAAGAAACTAACCCTTCGGCTTCCTTCCAAACACGTGTTCTAAAAGTTGGGCGGAGTGGAATGTCTTCAAAGTCAACAAATCTGGATCTTTTTAATTGGGTAAATTAAAGGAAAAAAGAGTGAATTTTTTCTCTTGAGGTACCCAATGTAGAGTACTGTTTCCTTAGCTCCCATATACCACCGTAGTTGCAATTTGTGTGTCTTTGCTGATTTAAATGGTAGCAGTATGGTGTGAGAAAGTGAGGTGATGCTTCAGGTAAGATGATTCTAGGGTATTCAGTGCTCTGTAGGTTAACGTCCCCTTAGACTACAGCCGAAAGCTGTTGGGAATTGAATAGTATTTTACAGATTCAGAGCCCATATAGATAAATAAGCAAAGTAAACAAGTGTCTTGGAAATCATTGTTTTAAGGTTTTTCTGATTTTTTTTTTTTTTAATTGCAGAGGGAGACACATCAAAAAAATACAGGTAAAGGAGACATTTGGCATATTTCCACATGTACTATATTTATTCAAAAGCAAAATAAAAATGCCACATCACTATTTATGTAGTTTTAGAAACATATATTTGCTTTTAGTATGCTATGCAATAGAAGACTAAAGATGTTTAGATGTTTTCACTAAGAAAATACTTTTTACAATGGCAGTACTGGACATGTTAGTATACCTTTATAAAAATCATGATCATGTATATAAGTGTGTGTGATTTTTTACTATGGGATATTTTTTTAAAAGTTCTGTTTTAAATCTGAACTCTTCAGAAGGTAGATTGTTGGAGAAAGCAGTTCAAATGTATGCTCCAAAAGGTTATTTTTTAAATGTGGATTTAAAAAAAAACAAAAAACCTTGAAATGAGGGGCTTACATGTTAAGTGTGGTTGGTATCATTGCCATTAAGATTGTCCAAAACTTTCTGTTGGAAGACAGTTTTCAGTTACTTATAGCAACCACACCTTTTAAGATGAAATTTTCCATGCTGGATGTTTGCCTCAGGCTGCCTTTTGGAAAATTTTGGCCAAATCACTTTCAAAAATGGCTAAAACAGTCTAGGTTAAAATAAGGGAGTTTAGCTCTCTATTGTCTAGTGGCCTATTCTTTGAAAAGGTCTATCACCCTTATGCTTTGGATTAAGGACATGAAATTTGGTTGCAAAGTGTTGGTTTTTTCCCCATGGATGTGGCTTTTGCCATCCTTGCTAAAATGTAGTTACATTTAGTCAGGGGTCCCCAACACGGTGCCCGTGGGTGCCATGGCACCTGCCGGGGCATTTATGTGCGCCTGCACCAGTGTTTTAAAACAGTGGTCTCCAAAGTTGGGTGCTCGCCCCCCAGCGGGCATGCAAGGCTATCAGAGGGAACATATGCCGCTGCACAACAACTGAGAGGGGAGACGCTGGTTCGCAGGACATCTGAGGGAGCGCGCGCATGAGGTCCGGTGCCCGTGGGTGCCATGGCACCTGCCGGGGCATTTATGTGCGCCTGCACCAGTGTTTTAAAACAGTGGTCTCCAAAGTTGGGTGCTCGCCCCCCAGCGGGCATGCAAGGCTATCAGAGGGAACATATGCCGCTGCACAACAACTGAGAGGGGAGACGCTGGTTCGCAGGACATCTGAGGGAGCGCGCGCATGAGGTCCCTCGGATGCAACCCGGGGTCTCCCCTCTCAGCTGTTGCGTGGCGGCATGCGCTCCCTCCGCTCGTCTCGCACACCGCCTCCATGCAACAGCTGAGAGGGGAGACGCCGGGTTCGCAAGACATCCGAGGGAGCGCATCCGTGGCATGTTCAAATGCCTGCGCAACAGCTGAGAGGGGAGACACTGGGCGTGTTGTGACGTCACGGCCCAGGACTTGAAATTTTAAAATCACGCAGCCCAGCTCCAGGCCCGGCACATGGTCTGGCGTCACGGAAGCAGCTGGGGCCGGGCCCTATCACAGTCTCAAACTGGAAGGCAGAAGGTGCGGGTGCGGAAAAAATAGGGGGAAGGGGTGAGAGAAGAAGGGGCTTGTGCTGAGGGGAGGGGGGCAAGTCAGGAGAAGAAAGGGGAAGGGACAGCACGGAGGAGAGACAGATGCCAGGGGGCCAACTGGAGACAATGAGGAAAAGGGCAGGAGGGGGGACAGAGTGATGCTGGGAGAGGAGAGGGTAAGAGCATTGGGGCTAGAGGAGGAAGAGGGAGGTGCTAGAAGAAAGCTTGAAAGAGGGGATGGGCATGAGGAAGGCAGGGATGGAGCAAATCTTATGTGAGGGTACAGGAGTATGAGGGGAACAGGGGCAGAGGGTGGTGAGGGGGTAGGCATCAGGGAAAAAGGGGGCCGGGGCAGTGAGGAAAGGGAGAGGGGCACCAGAAGGGTACAGGGGTAAGGGAAGTTGCAGGTGCCAGGGGATTCTGGGGGTGAAGCAGAAGGATAGATATCTGCAGGGGAGGGACCAGTACCAGAGGAGAGAGGCAGGGTAGGTGTGGAGAGACGGGCTGGTGGAGGGGGGAGGTCTCAGGAGGGCTAAGGGCAGTGAGAAGGGCAGGAGTCAGGATAGCAGAGGAGGGTGAGAGGTTGGGGAAAGGCAGGCACCAGGGGGAGCTGATGGAGCAAGGGGAGGAGACATGGCAGCAGATGGTGGGGATGGGAAGTGTGAGATTTAAAGGTGCCATGATTTCTTGGGGGAGCAGGGTGCTTTTTTTGCTCAGCATTTGAACATCCTCTCCCCCCTTTTTATTAATGCAGAATTTTGTTTAAAAATGAATTACAATATATTAAAAATATCCAACTAAATTAAGTTTCTATCAAATTTACCCAATTCACATTTAATATGAAAATAGCAAATTCACATGGTAAGGTGAAAGAATAATTGCCGAATAATTTATACCTTTTACACGTAAAATTACCTTTTTTATCTTATGGATTCATATATTATGTAATATTAAATATGATGTTTTTTGTATTATTTAATGTACAAAATAAGCCTTGAAAAATTGTTGGCGCCTGCCACATTCTTCTGAAAATATGAATGTGCTATTGGCCACAAAAAGGTTGGGGACCACTGCATTTAGTCATTGGGACTGGATGAGGAGCTGAGGAGGGGAACACTAGGATTGGTTGGACTGGGAGACCTTCAGGGAAGGGAATGCGGGGATGTGGTAGAAAGAAAGATTTAGATTCACTGAAGAGCCAAGGAGGCAAATTAGGACTGGCTCCACAAGAAGAGCAGCAGGACCATGATGTGAAGCCTGAGGGGAAGAGTTTTGGACTAGATAGGCAAGGAGAACAGGTCTTGGGACAAGGGGCCACAAGTAAGGAAGAGACAGGCTGGAATAGACAAGTTGAGGAGGGGGTAAGGCAGAATGAGTAAATCTGGGAGTGGGGCAGAAGAGTCTGTGCACATTAGAGCATGTTCCTCTCATGAGCTGATCTGGAACCCAAGATTCTAGAGGGACACCGGTCTACTGCTGACAGCAAATAGCTGTGAGATCTTCTGGTCAGTTGTCTTATTCCCACCTGGTGCCGTGCTATATAGAGGACACAAACGTATGGTTATGTCTAAACTATGTTCTATTTTCGAAAAAGGATATGCAAATTCCGTTGGAGTTTAACATTTGGTTTTGATGCTTACATATGCTTTTGCTTCTCATAGAAAAAAAAACAAAATTAATATACAGGGATGGAGGCAAGTGCCCCCTTAAACTAAGGAGGAAAAGTACAACTTGTAAAGGAAGAAGCTGTTCTAAGATGGGCTGCCTAAACTATACCAGGAAGATATGAAACCACATAAAATGGCTCCTGAAGTAGTAGGTGCAAATTCCGCCCAATCCCAGCCCCCAAAAAGAAAATCTGCCTCCCCTCTTCCTGATAGTACCAGGAAATGCAGGCAGAGGACTTCTACCTTCTGGTATCACTTCAGGGAGCAACAGGGAAGATACGGTAACCCACATTTACGTGTGCAGGTGGAGGTGTCGCTCCCAGTCTCACTAGTGGCATTCTTGAAAATTGCAAGATGGTTTTGGGGAAGTAATGCAGAAAGGTTAAGATCTGGAAACATCAGCAGATGCCAGATTGTGGTAATAGTGTTCATTTAATGTAATCATCGGTTTGAAGCAGGTATCTGGAGCACACAAAAGGCAACAAGTTGTATGTGTGTGTTTGTTTTTTTAAAGCACTTGAAACTAGACATGCATATTTATGATACTGTATGTTTCTTTCTTTATTGCTAAAAATGTAGCTCTCAGTCATCTTGCTTTCTAGCATGGATTTGGGCACTAAATAAATAATCCATGCAAAGAACACAAAAATAAGGCTTGCTGCATTTCATTAGAACTTTATAAATGGTTTTAACAGTATTTGCAACTTGTAATTACTACTTAGTAGTAATATAAATATTTAATCTACCTAAAAAAGCAAATTAATGACTATAGTGTAAGCCTTTTAAATCTGTTTAAAAAGAGAAATGCTTATGCTGTGAGCATAATTTATAGTATCTATAGCATTGGTTCTTAAACTGTGGTCCATGGACTACCAGTGGTTCGTGGCAGCCTTCCAGGTGGTCCACACGTCAAACTCAGCCTCTCCTCCCTCCCTCTCCCCATAGCAGGGAGTCCACACTAGCGTTCCAGTCTTGTGTCCCTTACTTTCCCCATAGAGGTTGGAGTATCATCTCTGGCTTCCCACTTGTGAGGGGGGGAGACAGGGAGAAAGTTCCGGGCCTTGCTGCATGATGCAGCTCATGAGGAAGTGGAGCCAGAAGCAGCTCTGTGCACTGCTGCTCCCCTTCTTAAGTTGGAGGATTTTCTTGCTGTTCCCATTGGCAGGAATCCAGCCAGTGGGAGGCTGTGCCTGGAACACTGTGCCTAGGAGCAAAAGGGGTCGCAAAGGCAGGAAAGATTCCCCCTTCCCTTCATTCCCAGAACCTGCACTCCCACCCTCCTCACAACCTCCACACTGAGACCCTGCACCTTACCCCCCTGCCTGATCCTATACCCACCCTT